GGTGAGTGGTCTCTCATCTCAGGTGATACGTAAAGAAAAGAAATCTCGTCAGTCAGGCACCGTCGGGGGAGGGACTTCATAGTTTTGTCTGCGTTCTCTAGGGCTGAGACTGCAGGCATGCCACACGTGGGTGGCTTTGAAAAGCAAAAATGCTCCCCCGCCCCCACCCCAGTTTAGAATGCACTTCAGAGGGCTGGCTCTAGGGCAGCGGTTCTCAACCTGTGGGTGGCGACCCCTTTGGAGGTCGAACGACTCTTTCACAGGGTCACCCGATTCATCACAGTAGCAAAATGACAGTGATGACGTAGCAACGAAAATAATTTTATGGCTGGGGGCTCACCACCACATAAGGAACTGCGTGAAAGGGGCGCGGCGGTAGGAAGGTGGAGAACCACTGCCCTAGGAGAAGCCTTCTTCTCGGTCTGCTCTGGGGGAAGGCCCTGGCCTCCTCTCAGCGTCTGTTCCTCAGCAGTCTTCATGTGGCCTGGCGTGTCTGTTCCTGTCTCTGCTCCCTCGCTTGTCCTAATCCCCTCTTTCTGTGTCTTGTGTCGACTCAAGACCCTGCAGTGTGCCGCCCTTCACTAACCCCGTCTCCTTTGCGTCACAAAGAACCCCAGCTCCCCAAAGGGATTAGGACCACAGGCATCAGGGCAGGGCTTCGCACACGTACCTACACTTGCCATGCACAGTTCAATGTGCGGCATCTTTCCGCTCATTTTGGGGTCTTGGGTCTTGGTGGGACGTGGCTGTTGTTCTTAGGGACCATTGAGTTGGCACCCTACGGACAGCAGAATGACGCACTGCCTGGTCCCGTGCCACCTTCACCACTGTCCCCATGTGTGACCTCCTCACCATGCCTTCTTGTCCACGTCTTTCTCTTTGCTGCAGGCCCTCTACTTTACCCAAGGACCATCCCTTCAGATCATGGGTCTAAAGCAAATGAACAAAGTCTCACCATTCTTGCCTCTTAGCAGCGTTCTGGCTGTACTTCATCCAACACAGATCAGTTAGTGATGTTTTAAGCAGGGTGAGAACAGGATTTAGGAGCATCGTCGCTGGGGAATGCTGGGAAAGCAAGCATGTCTGTAGTGGCAACTCAAGGTGTGCTGGGTGTCTGACATGTCTGGATCACTGAGCAGGTCTGGGATAATGTCGTGGATGGGAAGTCACTAGACAAGCAAAGGACAACTCAAAGGGCCAGGAATCTCACAGGGAGCCTGTGGCTCACGTCCTGTGTCAAAGAAAGGAGAGGAAAGGATGGCCCTGGCTCAGGTCTGTGAACCCAGGGACCAACTCACAGCTGGAAGTATGGATTTAGTGCATGATTCAGTGGTCTAGTGCCCATTTAAGAGGTCACCTGGGAACCCCAAGGTTAGGAAACACCATAACCCCATTAAGTGCATGAGGTTCACACTGACGTTTTGGAAACTGTGGCCAGGATGGGGTGAGCACCTTTCCTTCCCTGGTACTGGACACGTGACACTCGGGAACGGTTTGGCATCTTGTGGACCTTCATTAGAGCCTGAGCATCTCTTCATTTGTACCGAGCCTGGTTCATCTTTAATTAGCGCTCACTCCCCTGATGCCATTGAAAGCCTTACAATTCAGGGCTTCATGAAAAGAGGCAAAGACTCATGTGATGGGGGTTGGAGGTGGCTGGTGTTGGAGCAGCCAGTGAATCCAGGGGAGGGGATTGTGTTTGCTCTTTTGGGTGAAGAGACACAAGGGACCCCCACCCCCCCCAAGAGGATGAGCATCTTCAGGGGCAGGCTCTGCGTGCCCTTCCTGTGTCATGTTGGGCGAGACTGTCACCAATGGCAGCTGGATTCTGTGTGGTCAGTCCATCCAGATGGGTCGGGAGCCCCGAGGGCCAGGGAGCCCTGGTGGTGTAGTGGTTATGTTGGCCTGCTCTCTGAAAGGTCAGCACTTTGAAACCACTGACTGCTCCCAGAGAGAAAGACAAGACTTTCTACTCGCAGAAAAAGTTAGTCTTGGCAACTCACAAGGGTAGCTCTACCCTGTCGTACACGGACCCTGTGCGCTGGAATGACTCCAGGATGGTGAGTTTGTTGTCGTCACTGCCTGTGTGACATTCCTGAGGTCCCCGTGGAGCATAATCGGTTTGAGCTCAGCTCTGAATCCTAAGGTAGGTGGTGGACACCCACCCCATGGGGCTGTTGATCTGCATCCACAAACATAATGGTTGTTTGTTGCTGCTACCACGGCTGTCGCTAAGGGCTCATCTCCAAGTCTTGGTGACCCCCAAACGGTTACTGTCTGATTTATTTACCGCCCAACCATGAGGAATCACGCCTGCGCACGCAGCTAAGGCCCACCGCTCCTGGGCTACGAGTAGAGGGGTGGCTTGTGGGGTTTGCAGAGGTGGGGTGACCTGCGGGTTATTTGGGGAGACATGAAACTCTGGAGCACAGGCCCACGTCGCCGTTACTCGTGGGGCTGTCGTGAGTCCGGAGCAATCTTCACCATTGCTGGAGGTCGTAGCTAATGATGGACTGGTCCCAGGGCGTTTACAGGAATGCTGCCCATGTGTCCCTGTGTGCTGTCTGTCTGCTGTGTTAGAGTCCCATGGGCACATGCCCCTCCTCTCCGGTACAGCAGTGACACCCCCCCCACCCCCAGGTAAACCACAGGTGTTGGGCGGGGGGGGGGGGGTTCTGGGACTTAGAGCTAGCTTGTCTAAGTGAGCTGATGTGGGAAAGGACAGATGGCCCTGTGCTGGCTGTATTTCTGAAGACTGGGATGTATCTTTGCATCTCTGGCCTTTGGACGCTTTGTCCCTTATGGTGCATGACAATGACTTATCCTCCTCTTCCTCTTCCTCTCTGTTTGTGGTAGTTACATCATCTGTTGTCGACTTGAGACTATTAAGAGTAAAGGGGTGGAGTTTAGCCTGTCAATCAGGTTGCAGCTTGATGACCTCATTTGGAAGCACTAAAATTAATAGCTCGCTGCAGGTGGGACACACACACACACACTCCCTGCGGAGACATTCCTGCTGACAGGACACATGGAGCTAAGCTAGAGCCCTGGAGTTGGAGGAGCCACACGGACACCCACACCTATGCTGAGATGTTTCCACCACCACTGGATCCATAAGACTTCCCACCCACTGGTCTGTGGTCTTGCTGGATTTGGAATCAATGCATGTGTTACATGAGTCTGAAGAGGAGTTTATAGATTGGTATTGGGCATTGGGCTAATATCGAACTTATGGACTTGATTTGGAATGGGCTGGGATGATTTCTCAATATACAACTGCTCTTTTATATAACACTCTTTCTTATACACCTATGAGCGTCTCTGGATCTGTTTCTCTAGTCATCCCGGGCTCACCCGCTTCATCACCTAAAATGTGACAAGCATCCTGTGTCCATCAGGATGACCTGGGCCAAGCATCCTTGTCCTTCCTGGGCTAGACAGATGGCTGGTCGTTTCAGCTTCCGAGCATGGCTATCGCTCAGTTAGATGCATTTTCTGGTGCTCCATTCAACTGGAAGTGTGAAAAACACCCCCAAGGCACTTCTAGGAGTCCTGACGGTATAGTGGTTATGCATTAGCTTGCTAGCCCAGGGTCAGCAGTTCAAAACCAGCAGCCACTCTGTGGGAGAAAGGTGAGGCTTTCTATTCTTGTAAAGAGTTGCTGTCTTGGAAACCCTTAAGGGCAATTCTACTCCGTCCTAGAAGCTTGCTATGAATTGGAGTCGACTCAATGGCAGCTAAAAGACATTTTTATACGATGAAACTTGATATGATTTATATTCATTACATTACATGATACCAAACCATATCACATGGTACTATATTAATGAAAATACTGTATTTAGAAACTTCCGGATAGTTCTCCTCGGTCCTGCTCTTGAACGAGGAGTCCTGTGTGCAGTGGTTAGGTGCTCAGGTGCTAACTGAAAGGTCGGCTGTTTGATCCACACGTGGCTCTGGAGGAGAAAGATGGGGCTCCGTGTTAGGCCAGGTTGACCAGAGAAATAAATCCAGAGACAGTCATACGTGTGTAAGAAAGAGCTTTATAGCAAAGAGCAATTGTATATGAAGAGAACATCCCAGTCCATAGGTTGGCTTTTAGCCCGTAAGTCCGATACTAGTCCATAAATCACTCATGCAGCAACATGCAGTGAAGCAAAATGCAGGAAGATCACAGGCTGGTGGGTGAAAAAGTCTCGTGGTGGATCCAATGGTAGTGGATACATTTCCAGGATTCTGGCTGCCATCTGCGTGGCTCCATGTGGCTGGTCACCAGGAAGGTGAAGCAGAGAGAGAGTGTGTGGCTCACCTCCGGGGAGACAGAGAGAGAGCGCCCAGAATCCTCATGAGAAGGCCACACCCATGAGGAGGCGTCATCAGGCTATGACCCGATCGACAGGTTAGACGCCACCCCGTCACCTATTTATCAAGTTGACATGAAATGATGTAACGGCCACCTGCAGTCCGGTCCGCTCCTGTCAAGACGGCAGCTTTGACCCCCAGGGACAGAACAGAGCTGTCCCTGGAGTTGAGACGCCTCAGCCTGCAGGCCGGTGGGTCTTTATTCTCACCGGCAGCGCTCAGCAGGCTGGAGCCGCTTGGCCCCTCTCTCTTGAGCAGACATGTTTCCCTGGAAGGTGCTCCTGCCCAGAGCAGCCTGCCCTCTTCCCATCTGCATTCTGGGCCTTCTGGTGCCTGCAGCGCTCTGGCTGGTGGCGAACCACACGCCACAGAACAAGAGGTGCTGAAGACAGCCACGGAGGCTTCTCAGGGTCTTCCAACCCAGCACGTCAGCAGGCAATGCTCTGCTGTGAGCCCGGAGGTTTGCATGGGCTGATTTTCAAAAGTAGATTCCCCACGCCCTCCTTCCCACTCTTAGAATCTGGATGGCGCCATCAGCTATGCAGGGCCGAGTGGAGCCCACCAGTCACCCAGCCAGGATGCGACGTGCCAGGACACGGCCAGGGGTTGGTGCTAACACGCTGCCCTCTTCTCTCCAGCCAGCTGCCCTACCTTCACGCTGAAAGGAGGAAGCCGAGGGTCAGCTCTGGGGACGCTGAGGCACAGGACGGACTCTTGGGAGCAGATGACCAATGACCTCGTGGAAGGTGCCCCGGCCCCGGACTCATGCCACACTGCAGGTGAGTGGGCTCCCTGGGAAACCCCTCCTGCAAGAGACGCTTTGTCCCTGGCCCCCTCCTGTCTGCCAACAGCTGAGACTGGAGGGAGAGTGTGGCCCCGGAGACAGTGCAGGTGGGGGAGGACCCGGACTCTCATGTGTCTCCAGGAAGTTTCCCCCAGGTCTCAGGTCCCGACCCAGTATAGCACATGGTTCTTTCGATCCAGGTCTGAGCTGGGTGAGGGGCACTGGGGCTTACTTATTCCCAGTGGTGTAATCCTGGATGCTAGTCCAGACACCTGGATGACCAGCTCTTGAAGCCGGCCTGGCCGTGAGGCACCACACCCTCGTTCACGGAAGTCAGGGTCCATGTCGGCCCTCCGGGGGTGGGGTGGGGAGGGCCACCTTGTCCCTGCTGAGAGAGACCTGGCACCCTCAGTTCTCAGATGGGGATGGTGGGAGAAAGCAGCCGTGTGAAGGGGCCTAGATCTGTAGCCGTGCTCAGAGGGAGACGCCGCCAGTGCCCTGCAGTCTGTGATGTGTTGAGGGACCAGAGGTGGGTGTGCACTGGGGGGTTGGGAGGTTGTGTTTGCAGACCCGGGCTGGCTGAGACCTCCTCGGGATCAGGCGGTCAGCAGGGCCCAGGAGGAGCCGAAACATTGCAGCCCCTCCAGTCTGGTGAGAAGGGCTTCCAGGAGAGTGTTGGCATCGAGGCAGTGCACTGTGTGTCTGGGCTACACAGGGTTGGGTCCAGAGGGGCCCTTGTGTCTCACGCGGGTCAGGGGCAGCTTCCTGGGACCCCTGGGCAGCAAACGGTGACAGTGTCACAAGATGAGGAGTAAGGCTTAGAGTTCTTCCCCCCACCCCCTTGATCCCAGAGTTGGATTGCTTGCTTCTTCCTCCTTAAGGGCCCCTGAAGGGAAAGGAGGCAGGCTGCATGTGCATGCTGGAGTACACACACACACATACACACACACACACACACACACGCTCACACACGTGTGCGCACACACATACGCACTCGCACACACACATGCACACATGCACTTGTGCGCGCAAACTCATGCCGGAAAGACTGTGACTTGTTGAAACAAAGGCCTCATTTGGAGCATTAGCATTCCGAGTGTGGCGTGGCTCTGTGGTCAAGGCTAACCGCTTTCCCTGAATAAGAGCACAGAAGCTCCTTCCTCACAAGCCCCTTTCCCTGAGTGTGGATGGTAATGGGATTTGGATTTTCAGTTTCTTCCCTCGGTTCCCAGAGGGTTCTGTGGCCAGGCCATCAGACTAACTTCTCCACCCAGGTTTCCCTTTGCACTGTGCCTGCTTGGAAGCTCCGGCAAAATACCTCCATGTAATCAGCTTTTTAATTCTACCCAGAATGTGCTAGCTGTGAGGTCAAGCGGTGTCAGGGCCAGGAAGGGACAGCAACCTGGACTCGGGTTCCGTCTGGCCCCGAGTGACCTAGGTGGGCTCTCTCAGTCCATCCACACAATCAGCGGCTTCTGGGTGTACAAGGAATCCTGGACGCAGACAGGAGCCCGGTGGAATAGTGGGTTAAGTGCTGGGCAGTGAACCTCTCGGTCAGTGGTTTGAAACCACCAACTGCTCTGCTGGAGAAAGAGGAGGCTTCCTACGCCTGTAAACAGTTACCATCTTGGGCAGACAAGGAAGGCCATCCAGGGCATTTCACGGCCCTAGTTCTGGAAAATCTCCCCAACAATTTGTGAGGTCGTGATGTACTGCACCACATGGGTGTACAGCTAACAACAGATCATTACCCCCAGTTCTAATGGTTATTGCCCCAAAGGAGCTCTTGTTTCCTATGAAGCTCACATGGAGTTCCCAAAATCCCATTTGGGTGGATCAGTGGTCGATGACTCATGACAAGTGAGCAATATTGCATCGATTGGCCCAGGAGCAATTAGACAAAGGCCATGTAGAGCCATCAGTTAGCCCCTGGAATTCTCCTGTTTCTGTTATCCAAAAGAAAGCTGGCAAGTTTCGGGTTTTGCATGATTTACGTGCTATTAATGCAATTATCATTCCTATGTGTACCACCCAGCCTGGTCTTCCTGCCTCATCTGCATTGCCTATGAATTTATGTGTAATTACAATTGACGTACAAGACTGTTTTTTCTCCATACCCTTACATGACCAGGAAACATTTGCATTTTCTATTCCTTCTATTAATTGCGCTACACCCATGAGCAGATTTCAGTGGACATTTTTGCCCCAGGGTATGAAAAATAGACCGACCCTATGTCAGCTATGTGTTTGACAGGCACTGTCAAAATTCCCCTCTCAATGTCACCTCATCACTCTATGGATGACATTTTAATAGGGCATGAAAATCCTGTTGTCTTACAGACCTTATTAGAAAATATTACAATGGAGTTAAATTCTGGAGGACTTTGTATTGCAGTGGAAAAAATTCAAAAGCAGGAGACTTATTTATTTCTTGAACACTACTTAACTGCTAAACTGGTAAAGCCTCAAAAGCTCCATTTGTCTTTTCCTTCTGCCCCTACTTTGGCGTCTATGCAGCAGTTCTTGAGCAACGTAGCATGGATTCGCCCGTCTTTACGTGTTACCACTCAACACCTTGCACCTTTACTTTCCCTGCTTAAAGGCCCTCAACGACCAGAGGAAAGTGTTGCCATTTCTGCAGAAGCCCGAGAGGCCCTGCAAGTAGTAAATCAGGCCTTGAATGAGGCAGTGCTCTTTCGTTACCAACCTGAGGGACCCTTATGAGCTTTGGTGCTGCCGAGTAAAGGATTCCCCACGGGAGCCCTTTTTCAGGAAAGAAAACAAGAGTGGTGTATTGGGTCCGTATGGCCTACTCCACCTCCCCCACTGTAGCCCAACAACAACAACAATAACAACAACAACAACAAAGAGTTACCATCGTGGAGACCCACAGGGGCCGTTGTCCTTGTCCCGTGAGCTGCTGTGAGCTGGATTTGCCTATATGGCGGTGAGTTCAGTTTGAGTGCTGATGGTGTAGTGGTTACTCCTAGGGCTGCTAACTGCGAGGTCGACAGTTCGAATCCACCAGCCAGTCTGAGGGAGACAAAGGAGTCTTCCTCTTCCTGTAAAGAGCTGCAGTCTTGGAAGCCAGAGGGGCAGTGCCATTCGATCCGACGAGGTCCTGACAAGTGGGAATCGACTGCATGTGGTTGAGTTTGCTTTGTTTTTGTTTAGGTGCTTATGTTGCCCTGGGGTTAGGTGAGGGGCTGCTAACCACGAAGTTCATGGCTCTAACCCACCAGCCACTTTTGTTCTTCTTCTCCTTCGTTTAAATGGATACATTTTATTATATGTAAATTATACCACAGTTGGTGTCTGTTCTTCTGTGTATGTTTACAACAACAGATAAAGTTACTTAACAAGGGGGAGCGGGGAGGGATAGGAAAATGAGGAGTTGATACCAAGGGCTCAAGTAGAAAGTAAATGTTTTGAGAATGATGAGGGCAACAAATGTACAAATGTGCTTGACACAATGGATGTATGCATGGATTGTGATAAGAGTTGTACGAGGCCCCAATAAAATGATTTTAAAAATTACTTAACAATAACACTTATACATGCTAAAAATGGTAAATGTACATGCTCATTGTAGTAAGCATGGAAATATATAAGAACATCAAAAAGAAAATTAAAATTATGCAATCCCAACATTGAGGAGTAATTAATTGTTAACATGTCTGGTTACTGCTTTCTACTCAAACATGCATACATACAAATATAGATATATTCTGATTTTGTGCTTCTTGAGAGAAAGATGAGACTGTTTGCTCCCATGAACCCTGACTGGCCCAGAAATTCTGGTATAGAGAGGCTGTGCCTTGGTATCGACTTGATGGCTGTGAGATTTGGGGGCTGGGTTCATGGACTTGGTCTTAGCGTTTGTGTTAGTCTGGGTGGACTAGAGAAATAAATCCATGGACACACGTATGTGTATAAGAAAGAGATGTATATCGGAGAGGAATTGAACATTGAGAAAACATCCCAGCCCAGTCCAGATCAAGTCCATAAGTCCGATATTAGCCCATATTTCTGATATCAGTCTATAAAGTCCTCTTCACGAAACACATGCAATGACGCCAAACGCAGAAGATCACAGGCCAGTGGGTAGAAAGTCTTTGGATCCAGTGTCATTGGAAACATCTCAGTGCTGGCAGGGGCCTCTCTGTGGCTTCTCCAGCTTCTAAGGTCTGGTTGCGTCCATGTGGCTTGTCTTCTGCAGCGTCTCCCAGGGAGTAGCAGAGAGAGAGAAGGGTCTTCCACCTCCGAGGAGGAAGTACCAGATTTCCCAGAGTTCTCAGGAGAAGTCCAGGACCACAGATGTCTCATTGGCTATCTCCAGATTGACAGCCTAGACTCCACCCCTACACTCTTAATCCTTAAATTGACACCAGGTTAGGGGACGACCACACCGTTCCATAGATATGTTTAAAGGTCTGCTCTGCCAGGGCCCCTGGTGGTGCTGTGGGTTAAGTGCTGGGCAGGAACCCAGCAGCGGCTCCCCAGAAACCTGGACCAGGATTCTCAGAACACAGAGACAGATGTCCCTGTGAGAGCCGGCCCCAGCCTCGGGGCATCCCAGGGGGCGGGAGGTCTCCTCCCTGTGCGCTAGAAGGGGATCCCCAAACCTGTGTGGCCTCTGATGCTGACTGTGCCTCCCAGGGGAGGTGGACACCCTCTTGGTCCTACCTGGAGACATGGCCACAGATTCAACAGAGAGAGCTGCATTGTGGCCAACAGCATCTGCTTCTCCCCACCAACATGCACACACGCATGCACATGTGTGCATACTCATGTGCACAGACATGCACATGGATGACTTGGGATGCCCCGCCAGCCTGTCCTCACTTGGTGCTCTGTCTCTTTCCCCCCTCACACTGACTGTCCCTCTGTGAGGGCAGAAACCTTGCCTTCACTTGGGTCTCGCGGGCCCCAGGCAGCAGCAGGACATGCCAGGAACCTAGCTGTGCTAGGCAGGGTTCTCTCGAGAAACAAAAC